AGAGAGAAAAAATATTCAGGAGAGAGAGAGAAAGAAAAGGAGGGGGGGTTAATTGTCTTTCCTGCTCTGTTCTGTCACCCATCTCTTTCTATTTATAGGTTGACATTTTACAGAACAAGCCCAAACAACCAAGTGATGGATAGATTGTGTGTGTGTGTGTGTGTGTGTGTGTGTGTGTGTGTGTGTGCGTGCGTGTGTATACTTTTCCAAAGAGCAGAGTGATGGATAGTGACTGTGAATTTAACAGTTGAATGCCATGATTGCTGACTTTGTGTGTGTGTGTGTGTGTGTGTGTGTGTGTGTGTGTGTGTGTGTGTGTGTGTGTGTGTGTGTGTGTGTGTGTGTGTGTGTATTTCGTCTGATGTCTGCCTCCACGTATTGGACACTGGGCTTTCCGTTTCAGAGTTTAGTCCACTTCTGCCTCAATTCAAACATTGTGTCCACTTTTATATCCACATCACATGCTTCAAATCAAGCTGTTAATGAGGTTATGCATATGTATCAGTATATTATATGTTAATCAAGTAAATAAACAATGAACTTGGGTGTATCATTTTATATGCTGTCAGCAGATCCACAGAAATTTTTATTGGCCTTGGGCAGACGGTCACTTACAATAGCATTTAATATTTGGGACTGAGAAAGGTATTGAGAAATTTAAGTGGAGACAAAAGACAGTGTCAAATCAAAGGTGAGTTGCCATGTTTTAGAGTTTAAATTTTATTTTCTCTTATTTTAAGCCACATCAATTTTTACACCTTGGTGGTTTTCAGCTCTGTATTTGAACCAGATGAAGGATTTTAGTCGTCGGACGTCTGGATCTGAAGTTATCAGAGAAACAAGCTGAGGAAATGTTAGACAGCTCAGCTTCCAGCTGCTGGAGACGTCCTGTCCTGTGTCACTGAAGAGCGTTGGTGAATCAATGATTGTTAAAGTGAAACTACTTTGTGGGTGTTTCTACTGGTTTGAATCCCGTGGAGTGTTTGTTGTGGAGAGGAGGACACCTCTGAGGATAATTCAGCTGCTGGTAAAAACATCTGCTTCATAAGTTATCAGAGAAACAATCAGAACAAAGGTTAGCATCAGTCTCAGCGCCAACTCTTTCCTGAGTCTCTGTCCTCCGTACAGCGTCGCTCAAACACTGACTTTAAATGTCAAACTGCTTCATTCAGTGTTTTTAACGGTTAGAATCACCAGGTCTGTTTGATTTCCTGAACCACTGACACTGAAGGAATCCAAACCAGTAATGGTGGTGAAGACAACAACTCCCATGATCCACACTATTCCATGATCTCACCCAATGCTGTCTTTTGTTGTTGTTTTGATTGAGAGAGCCCTAGAGGCAGAAGTTACCGACTGTGCATTTAAACGAAAAGATCCTCATCCAGATTAACATTAAACAAAAACCTTCTTTTCACAATAAAAACACTTCTGATAAAGAGTTGTGAGAACTACATTTCTGATGTGTGAACTGTGTCAAAGTGATTGAGAAGACCTTTAAGTGTCAGACCCTGATGACGACTTAGAATCGTTACGCAAGGGCTTGTTTGTTTCACTATATGCTCGAGGAATTAATTAATATTATTTCACGTGAAGACAGCATGCCTTCATTCTTTCCATGGTTGTCATGCATTATTAAATATTTTGCAAACCATCTTGGATCTTGTTTTTTGTATTTCTGTGGGAGCCATGCAGCTCTCCTTTGTAGACCTTCCCATAACTAACCATTGCTATTTAAAAAGAGGACAAAAAACCTGTAAAACTATGTCCAGTGTAAACTGAAATGTCACGAGGATCTGATTCTGTATATCAGAGAGTCAGCGCAGCCAGACAAGCACTCAGCCTAAATGTCAGTAAAATATGTGCTTCTATGGAGAGATATTGGTCCTGCTCTCCAATCTAACACTTAGCATAAGTCATGTACTATGAACTGACAATTCATAGCATATGTTATTACAGTTAGATTTGCTGCTCTTTCAGGGTGTTCTCAAAGAATCTGAGCAGTAAAAAGGACATGCATATTAGTTTTAGTAAAATCAACAAAACCAAAAACTGACTCAAAGTCAAGGTTGGGGTGATGGAGGAAGCATCAAACAGTCCAGTGTAAAGTTGTATGATGATAAAGACTAAATGATGCAAGTGAAACTTATAGGCTTTGCCTGAGCCAATACATAGACCTTAAATAAAGATGGAGGTAGCCTCTGTGAAGACACCCACAGATTTCTTAAGAGCTGTTTTGAAGCGCAGTGGGCTGTTCTGCTGTTGCCATCTTGGCAGTGTCTGACTCCGCCCCTAACTCCCAGCTAATCCAAAAATGGACAAATGGAGGGGCGTGCATAGAGCTGAGAATTCGGTTTACGCTGGTTTGTGGCAAGCATATGCTCACCTACCTGTCACTCAAAGCAGCCACGCCCACAATTATGCAGAACGGTAAGTCTTAATAAAATGTAAACAGGTAAGCTATATATCTATAGAAAAACTGTTTTTGTACCAGGCTGTAGGCTGTCTGCTGGACTTAATGTTGGACATTTTAACATGGAAGTCTATGGAGATTGACTCACTGTTGGAGCCAGACCCTAGTGGTCATTAGAGGGACTGCAGTTTATGGTACTTCAGTGTTGGTTTCATTTTTCAGCCCTGGAAGTTGAGGCTTGGTCGTTGGAACAAACCACCTGTACGGTTGATCATGTTGAAGGACTTAATGAAGTGATTTGAGTGAGAGACAGACAAGAGTAAACCATTGGGAACAGTTGGGAACTTGGAGGGACTCGGTAAGAAAAAACAGAAAAAGAGGAAACAGGTTGAGAGATAAAAGAGTTGGAAAGAGGGAAAGGAAAGCCCTGTATTATGAAAGAGAGAGAAGATGGTGATGGGAGTTTTCCCTCTGATGAAAGACAGAGCGATAGAGGAGGGGACAGGAGGAGGAAATGTGAAGCTTTGAGGAGCGGCAGTTTGATCATTATCCTCTGTCGTCATCTTCACTGAATCATTTTAACATGGGAGTCTATTGAGATTGACTCACTTTTAGAGCCAGCCTCAAGTGGGCATTCAATGAACTGCAGTTTTTGGGACTGCCGTGTTGCTTCAATTTCAGCCTTAGAAGTTGCTGCTTGAGCTAATACGGTGCTCAATTAAGAGCTTTAAAGTTTACCATCAGTCGAAGTATTTGCTAGCATCATACACATCAGTCAGGAAAGAGCACAGTGACCAGCTGGGGATCACAGCATGCCATGTTCTCATTACACAGCAGTCTAGGCGACCCCTCTAAAGCTGGGTGTGTACTTTAATTTTAAAGTCCTGGCTCTTGAACTCCAGCATACTGCAGCAAATTGTCATCAATAGGTTGTTTTTTTTTTTTTTTTTTAAATTGCACCTTCTCAGCGCTACAGCATTTTTTGCCAGATGAATATTTATGACAGCAGCAGTGCTCTGTTTAAAATATCGTATTGATATCTGAAGCCTAATTCTTATGACAGAGAGCAAGAAACATATATTGGCTGCATGTTTCATGTTCTCAGGATTAGAATCAGAATTGACTTTAAAGTCAAGTGAGACAGAAGAGTTGACATGAAACAGGGCATTTTTGCATTTTATTCAGATAGTGAAGTGAGAGAGAGACAGGACAGTCAGGGAGAGAGAGAAGGGATGACATGCAGCAAAGCGGCCACGGGTCAGATTCAAACTCATGACCGCTGCGGTTGGGACTAAGCCCATGTGGTACACGCTCTACCAGGTGAGCAACCAAGGTGCCCCAGGAGGACAGTTATTTATATGTTTGTAGGGTCTGTTCATTTGAAACCAGTTTAAAGTAAGTCTTTTGATCAAAAAGTGCTGTGTTCGTTCATACTCACCCAGAGTTAGCTAGGCTACTGATGACTGCATTACACACGTACTATACTCTGCAATGTTCTGACGGCAGCAAGCTAAGCATTTTCTTCAACGTATGTCCTGACTGTGTTAGCTTCTGCTCCACTCGCTTCCATTGCTCGATTTCTTCCACAAAAGTTTTCTTCTGTGGAATTTCTGAAAAGCATAAACATGCCACTGTACTTTGGCTAAATTATTCGTTGAATGTAGGAAATCTCTGAGCAGAACACAAGACAAACACATCTGAGGTGTGAAGTATTCCAGCAGCCCTAAATATTCATTCCAGCTAAGGCCCAGGCTGTTTTTTTTACATGCATTTTTTATTTCTCTTTGCTATTTGGGCTTATTGGACCCTAATTAGAATAAAAACTAAGAATCATCTTTTGATATGATGTACTTTTAGAGAAAAATGATGTCCACATATGTGGACTCTTGTTCCGAATTTCCATAAAACCCAATTAAGTCACCATTGTGTAATAGAATGAAAAACTCTTTATTTCCACCTTGAACACAGCAGTTTTTTTCCTGACTGCTTTTGCATGTATTAGTAACACATACACACACATTTTTGAACATGTTTTGAATATCAGAGAGTAAAAACAACATGGAAACATTGCATTTTTGCCCCTTTTGGACAGTTTAAACTACTGCATGGAACATTTGAAAAGCTGCAAACAGTAATTGCAGGATGACATTGTATGCCTGTAACAAAATATAAAACATTCAAATCATTTTTTTAATTGTCACAGTTGCATCAGGCTACTAATGTATTTTGAACATCATAGTGAAAAAAAATATGAAAACACATCATAGTGAAAAAAAGAAAACAAAAATGTTGCACCTTTTTGACAGTCACAGTTACAGTATGGCTCATGTGAAATTTTGTATTTGTAATGTAAAAAAAAAAGGATATGTGAAAGGGTGCAATCATTGAGGACAGAAGGACCCCTGCTTACGGAGGCCCAGGGGTCACCTGGTGACCTTCACAGAATCTGAGAAGAGAGGAGTTAGAGGAGGAATGTGACTAATCCCACACGCTCACACTCACACCCACCCACACACATACCTAATGTCACAAAGAGTACATGTACACTGTAGGAACATGTACACACCTTGAAAATCACTGCCATCACCTATGTGTGAAAGTCTGAGTAACAGTTGTGTTCGGTTTGCAAGCACAAGAACACTTTGCAGGTCACACAACGCACTCGGGTTCTTCCGGTGCAGCCTGGTTGTCTGCAGCGCATCACATTCTTCAGGCCAATCATCTCTGGGAGGTGGGCATTAGCCCTCCTGCGGACCGAGACATGGGGCAACTCTGTCACATGACGTTTTCCCCCTTGATTTGAATCTTCTTCCTCTGATTGTTCCGATAGGTCAGCATCTGCACCGTGATGCTGGGCCAAAAGGATCTTTGCCACTTCCATACGGAACTGAAGGAACTGGATGGGTCTTGTCTTTGGTCCAGCACATATTGCATGGTCTTTGCGGTAGAGTAGCCAGCTGTTGGCTAAAGCCAGATCCGTGAAGTGCATTACCATACGCATTGTCCACTTCTTAGTACGGGTGCTCATGCGATAGTAACTGATCATTCTATCCATCAAGTCAACTCCACCCATCTTGGTGTTGTACTCACGGACAATGCTTGGTCGCGAGACAGTGACATATTGTTTCAACTTCTTGTCCCAGCGCTGGCAGGTGTCTTCAGGCTGTGTACCATGAACAACAGACATCATCAATACTGGTTTGTTGTCGTACCACTTCACTACACACAACTTTCCATCTTCAGCGGAAACTTCTGATGAAGTACCTCTTCCTGCGCTTTTCATGGCTTTGTCACTGGGTAACTTGTGGTTCGCTCCAGCAAGTCGATTTTTCATTATTGTACCAGTTAGGTACAGCTCCTTCTCCATCATTTGTTGCGCACCTTTGATGGTGGTGAAGAACCGGTCACAATACACTTTTGTGCCACGTTGCAGAGTTTGACACAGACGCTCGATGACTAAGTTTCCCAAACCCAGGCCCTCGGGTTCTTTGACCTTCTCAATCAGTGAATTTGTACCTTGATAGAGCTCAAAGTCAAGCACAATGCAATCTGCTGTAGCACAAACAAAGTTCTTTATGCCAACTGGGTTTGGCTTCATTGGCAGATATTGTCTGTACGGACAGGCTCCTGTGAAAGGTATCATCTGCTCATCAATAGATGCGCAATCAGGTCGATTCAGAGACTTGCAGCCTCGCAGAATCCGATCCAGAAAAGGCCTCACCCTCCAGAATTTGTCAGACATCCTCAGGTCTTCAGGCACATCATCATCAATTACCACTTTTATTGCTCCCCTCAGTTTGAAGAATCTGGCACACGTGAATCTGTCAGTGATGGCGTTGATTTTCAAGGCTTTGGACCAATACATCCTAATGGTTGGGTATCGGATGCAGGACATCAAAATACAGGCACCAAAAAAGTGGTAAACCTCATTGACTGACATGTTGAGTGGGTCCCCACTCTTAGACAGTGACATGACATTAGAACATTCTGAAATCAGTGTCATCAGATCTCTATCTATGTACTGTTCAAAATAGTCTAGTGGGGTCCAGCCATGTCTGTCTAGATCAGTTTCGTCCTGATGCTGATACTCTGCGAGGTTTGGCGTCAATGGAGTAGCCTTCCAGCGTATAGCACGTCCTGCACAACCACAATCACAATAAAATAGTATTGCAGTAAGTTACATTTTACCCATGTAAGCAAATGAGGTGTAGGCCTATTGGTGCATGAAATACTTGAATCTGTGTGGACGTTTACATGAAATTTGAAGATTTACCCTCAAGGCATGCTAAAATAATAACAATTACCTTGTTTGGACTCTCCCTTTTTCTTTTTTTTGGTTTGGCTTGGTCCTGGTGCTGGCTCCTCAGAGTCATCTTCTGAGCTGTCAGTCTCAATTGTTTTAGTTCGACGTCGATGTCTGGGAGTGCGGGATGAACCTGTCCCTGTACTCTCTGTCCCTGTCAATGAACCTGCCAACAAGTGTTGTAAATAAGCATTTTGCCTCCAATCCTTCACGTAGCCCTGAGGCCCTAACTACATAACATAAACAAAAATCTACTGGGTTTTGGCTAACCATTATCTGCATCACAGAGACTTTTACGTCCTCTGCTATGCTCAGTGGGCTCGGGAATGGGGTCCTCATCCTCACTACTGTCACCCTCATCCTCACTGCTGCTTTCCTCCTGTGGTGATGGTTGGTAATTTTCATCCAGGATGGGATCATCGTTGTCAGACAAGTCTAAATCTGAGTTGTCTCCATCAATTAACCCAAGTAGCTCCAAAGCTTTTTGCACAGAAAAATGCTCTGGAAATAAAAACATGACAAAATCAAATACAAATCAATGTCATTCATGCATTATTTATTTGTAAATTATTTCAATGGTACTGTACAATGTACAGATTTTAGCTGCACCAGAGTTAGCTGCAAGCTAGTTTAGTTTACTAGCATATTACATTTTACTGACATTTTTAACCCAACTAATTTATGTATGTATATATGTATTTAGTGATTGAATTGTTATTCATTACATTTAGACAATGTACAGCCTTGTAGCTGCACCAGATCTACTTGTTTTCTCATTTTACATGTGTGCATGTTTACTAGTATATTAGCTGTTTTGAGGAGCGTCAGTCCATAAGTACACATACGTGTACATCATGTTTAGCGACATGCTAAGTTCTTATTTTTACACTTTTTTTCCAAATTTGCTTGTCATGACAACTGTCCAACGCTTCTATAAATATCTAAATAAGAATAAGCCATAAAATAAGGCAGGACTTCTTACCCGGTCGATGTTTGTGTATGGAGCGGCCAATTGAATCTTCCGTCATGTTTGCCGCCATGTTGAATTTTTACCGTAGTATGTTATACTCTTCTGACACCACCAGATGGCAGTGTAAGTGCCCACGTACATGTCCATAACACCCCCAATTCAGCATTGAACAGGATTGTGGACATAAGAGCTATAAAGTGCTGTCCACGTATGTGGCCGCTAAGCCTTAGGAGGTTTGTGGTTTAGTTCCATTCTCACAGCAGTAAATTAGTTGTGAAGATGTTTACTATTCTGACCAGAATACCAAACCTGAACCAGTGTTTACATTTAAAGACCGATCAAAGCTTCTTGAGAAAGGTAGAGATATATCGTCATTACCACACCTTAATAGTAAATATTACTATTATTAGTATTTCCAGATGTTTAATATGGGTCATTAAAATGCATATTGTCATGTATTAAGATACAGGATGAATAGACACAGATGGAATTTTAGCAATGTATTTATTGATTGTTGAATACTTATAGTTGCGTGGGTCAGGTGTTTGCAGGGAGGACGTGGGGCTGTTCACCTCATCATTCACCGGTTTTATCTGATTCTGGTCAAATTTCTGTTCTGCCTTGTTTGCTAATTTTATGATATCAATCATTTTGTCAGCATGTCAGTCCATCACAGGGTTTAGTGTCTTTGGAATTTTTTTAATATCCTTTCACTGTTCAGTCCCGACATGCATTCAGGCTGCAGAATGCCAAACAGCAGCACTACGGCTGAGGCTCATTTGGGACGAGTGTCAGGCGAGTTAAACACTCATCTGATATCAAACTGAATATTTAATCAACCCGTCTCCTCGCTGAAATGATGAATAGCAGATCCCCCTTCTTTCCCAGCTCTCATATCAACCCTTGTTCCCCTTTCATCATCTTCCGGTGGAGTTTTGAAGTGTTTTCAAACTTTTGTTCCCTCTCCTTACTTAAAAGTACCTGAAACAACATCAAAAGATGAGCCTCTCCTGTCAAAGAACTTAATGTTTCCTCTTACATTTCTTGCTGTGCTTTAATCCTCTTGAAACATAATGTTCTGTATGTGCCACTGAAAACCAGATATAAAGTGAGACAGTCGACTTAAAGATGTTGGTGTGTGTTGTATGACTAAGACTCAGCATTTTTGGTTTCTAGTGATGAAGAAACTGATAATCATCATTGAAAAATAAAAGGAAGACAAAGTTTATTTCCTCTGTGAAGGCCCCGGGGCCTCTACCAGCGCTTGTATGTGTGTGTTGTGTTGTTGCTGTGTTGTACTTTGTGTTCCTGCAGTTTCCTGGTTGGGTGGAGCTGGAAGCCAACAGGGAAGTGGAGGCAGCTGGCCACTGTCCTTCAACTAGATTTTATAAGACCTCTCCATCCTGGCAGTAAGAAGGCTCTCTCTTTGCACCACATCATCTTCTGTTGGAGTCCATCTGCGAGCCTCATTTGTCAAATTTGCCATTTTTATTATCTTAGTTAAGTCAACACTAATTTCTCTGAAATGAACTTACTTTGTTTTAAGTTGCTTCCATACGTGCCTTCCCTTATTTGCTATGTTCTCAGAGCCAGGCCATAACATCTCATATTTGAATGACGTGATGTTCAAGACAATGTCACTGAGTTTTTACACATTTTTGAATCTGAACACAATTACCAGATTTTCTCTCTAAACAGGTCATGTACTCCCATTGTAATAAATACACTGGGGCTTAAATCAGTTGACGATGGCCATTTTAGTAGTTCGTAATGCTGAGATGTGGTCATAGTGTTGGAAATGTGTAAATTAAATCATGGTGGAGTAATGAACAACTTTGGTTGGGGGGGTGGGAACATGGACATATACACCTAGATGCCGCATTGGCAGCTGGATTGTATGTCAATATCGCCGCCATTATGGGTCTTTTTTTCTCACTCAATTACAATGAGTCATTCTTATATTCAAGTGTTTGTGGTGTACGTGCAGTGAAAAAAAAAAAAGTTTTGTTACTACTTACTTAGAATTGTGATGGTTTAGGCTGTAAACACTGTTTTCCATAAGGAGCTGTGTATCAACGTTAGGTGTAGATTAACTGGATTACTGGCATGGTGGAAAATAATTCATTGTGAAAAGGAGTTGCTAAATCTCACTTCACTAACCCTTACAAGTAATATTTACTAAATGTTATAAAAGTGGCCTGGCTCCTCTATAGCTCTTTGTGTAAGGTGTGAGTGGTGGAGCGGGAGCGAGTGAGTGGTGTTATATGTGACGGTGACGGTGTTAGGGTGAATCAATGGATTGCATTAGATTGTGCATGTGTACCTAATAAAGTTGTAGCTGACATACCTGGCCTGGCATCAGTCATAAGCCATTAAAGGGGTTCATAGTAAGGACATGTAGAGTTATAGACTGATGTTAGACTAATCATAGTAATCCATAAATTCACATGTCAGGTTTTGTAGTGTTAAGGACCCAAATGCAGACAATCCAAGGGAGTAGGTGGAAAAAAGGTGATTTATTAAACAAAGAAACACTAAATAAGAAGTCTTACTTGATGCAAAAAGAGGCTTGGGAAACAAAAGACCAAAAAACTGAAACACAAGGAGACACAGAGGATACTCAACAGAAGTAAAACTGAAAATCTAAACATTGGTAACACAAGACAGGGAAACTTCAAAAATTCAAATTGAGTAAAACAGACAAACTGACACTGACAAAAGGGAGTACAGAGACTTGAATACACAAGGGAGGCAAAGGTAATTTAACACAGGTGTAACATATTAAGGTGGGGCAGACAATCACAAAGGAGGGACACAGGACAAAGACCAGAAGTAAAATAACCACAAAACACACAAGGGAAGTAATTTCAAAATGAAACAAACAAATAGATAGATAGATAGATAGATAGATAGATAGATAGATAGATAGATAGATAGATACTTTATTTATCCCCTGGGAGAAATTCATGTGTCCGTTAGTTCATTGTTGATAATAATAATAATAACAGTTGCTAATAAATAAACAATGATAATTAGATTAGTCCACTTTCTTTGGCTGAGGTGTTGTATTGCTGGATGGCAGTGGGAACAAAAGAGCTCCTGAACCTCTCTGTTCTGCAGCGCAGTGAGATGAGACGTTTGCTGCAGCTGTAGCTGCTTCTCTGTCCTGCCAGAATGTTGTGGAGAGGATGGTTGGTATTGTCCAAGATGGCCTCCATCTTACATTGCATGCGTCTCTCCACAACAGTCCTGAGTGAGTCCAGACTCCTGCAGCACAGACCCAGCCTTTTTTACCAGCTTGTCCAGTCTCTTTGTATTCATGTCGGACAAACTGCAGCATAAAAGAGTACACTGGCCACCACTGATGATAAAACATGTGCAGCATTTCACTGCAGACGTCAAAGGATCTGAGCCTCCTGAGGAAAAAGATCCAGCTCTGCCCCTTCAGGTAGATGGCATCTGTGTTCAGGGACCAGTCCAGTTTACTGTCCAGGTGCACACCTAGGTATTTATAAGTGTGCACCACCTCAATGTCCTTCCCTCGAATGTTGACTGCTTAAGGGTGGGCCTAGACCTTTCGAAAGGAAGCCAAGAGTCCCACAAAGTCCAAGTGTTCAAACATAAAGTGACAAACCATGACAACATATCAAAGTTCTTCCCTTGGGAAGTGGTGACATGTGGCCTGAAAGCTACATAGTGGACACTGAGTGTCTAAATTACTATGTTAATAAAAGTTGACTTGGTGTGAAGGTAGTCTGTGTACAGGCTGTAGCTACAGCCTAAGATATCAACACTTTGAAATATTGGGTGGAGTTGATGAAGTGGTGTTACAGAGTGATGCTTCTTTTTTCAACAATCCTTGGCCAAGTACAGAAACCAGCTCACAAAGAGTACACGAACCAGACAACAACAGCTTCATTTTGGACTTTTTAGTTGAGTGACTTTCTGCATTATATAAATTAATTATCAGCTGATGTAACGTTAAGCTAGTGATGTTTGTTATTTCAACAAGAAAAAGCCACAATCTGGGCAATGCCAGTTGAAATGATTAGACTTACCCATCTAAGATTTGTTTATCTCAGAACTTAAAAAATCCTGTATTTCATCAACTTGGAACCAAATCCACAACAAACTGTTGAAACCCAACTGTGCTGGCAGTTGGGGTCTAAGCAGTTCTTGTTTTCGTTATTACAGTTTTCTTTTTATATAATTGCTTAAGCACGATTTTGATAACAGGGCTCATTTCCTACACACAATACACAAAATCACACAACCAAAGTGTATGTTTACAGCAAAGCATATATTACAGTTGTAGGAACAGAAATTGATCTATCAAATAAAGTGAACAGAAGAGAAAAAGAGGGGAAAATATACAGACAGAATTACCAAAGAAAGCAGGAAAAAAATTAGGCTGCATCTTGCCACCTAGTCGGGTCTGGCTACAGCACCTCATCAATGTCACATGCAATACCTTTCTAGTTGTTCAACTCAGAACCACTGCATAACATCTTTTCCTCGGTGTCCAGGATCCCAGTGCCAGCCTCCAACCAATCTCTGCTGTTCTTCCCACCGAAGCTGCTGTTCACTCAGCCTGCACCCCAGCATGCCTCTTCAGACAGTCTACACTGCCCTCACTGCTACTACTGCCATTCACGCTGCCTTCATCCCTGCTTCACCCCGCCCCCGGCCCTCTCCAGCCGTCAGCCTCACCTGGTTTAACTTTTGTGACAATAAATCACTTTACTCTCACCCCATCTAGCCTGTGTCTGCATTCGGGTCCAAAAAACGTAATATTGGCACAAACTTAACATCCATGTTAAAAAGAACTCTTCAATTGGACAGAGGAATGGTGAGTAGGGTGAAGGGTACTGAACAAGATATTGTGGGTGGTCCACAAACCGTGTGGATCAGGGCTGCATGGTGGAAGCTGACATCGTCCCATACTATCACACATCTGTGCTGCTCTGCGTCATCCATGCGGTCTGCTGGTATCACAGTGCTGTGCAGTCTGGTCTGTGTTGTATGGACCAAGGTTGGCATGACAATGGAGAGCACCATTATTTGTGATGG